CAAGGCAGCTCGGTACTTGACCCAGCATTTGCCAAAACCTTCAATTAAGGTGACTTAAATTCAGTAACGTTTAAAGGCAATCGAAGTGTTGTATATCTTTCAAATTTCATATACGAACTTCCATATAATCAGCAGAAACTTCTCGTTCGCGAGATCTTTTTCCCAAACGGAAGCGATGCTGCGTAATCAGTATAGCTGGTATATATGTATTTCATTTGATGAATCGTCGGTGACTACGAATTTGTTCCCACACACCGATATAGCCATGGGTTTGTCAATACCATCCTTTGACGTCAGAAGTTCTCTGACATTGGTACCATAAGCGGAGACCTGAACCACATTGTTGGAGTCTCGACCACAGACGTACACATTCCCCTCACTGTCTACGTCTACTCCCATCTCATTCTTGACTACCCTCTTATCTAAACCATATATTTGGATACCATTGGGCAGTCTGGTGACCACGATATCATCCACTGTAGATACATTCTGACAGGCAAATGTTTTATTCTTTTTAAGATCAGACGCAAGATACCAGCACTGTGAGGACAATGTCTGAACTTTCTTTACCTTACCGTACATTGTCACGCTATAAATGTCTTCCGATGCGCTCACCATGAAGTTCCCACCCATGAACGCTAAACCACGACATTCGGTGTTTTTATCCATTCCTATTACGGTCGATAGGATCAGCTTGAAAGACCGTACTTTTACGACATGTATGCCGACTATAGTATTTCTTACAGCAACTGCCACTGTTACATCATCCACTGAGCAAACATCATGTGGCCATCCACTGATTTTCAGCTCGTCCAAATACTGTCCTTCAACAGAAAACAATTTCAGTTTCTCGTTCCCATCATCACTTACAATGATGTTTCCAGTAGGCATCAACAAAACTCCTCGAGCTCTACATTTGTATTTATCTGAGGGAATTGTTAGCATAATTTGTCCTGTTTTTTTGGCGCGACTATTAGACAGCACGTCGACATTTTGTATGTACTCAACACTGTCAGGTATGATACAGGGTTGCTCCTCAACCAGGATTCTTCCCAGGGTAAGAGTACTGGACTGATCGATTGTGATGTGGCTCGAGTCGATGTCGTGTTTCATGCTGACTGATTTAGGCGAACGCTTGCTATTGTAAATAAGATCATTACAAGCACTAATCTCTATCTGACCTCTATGGAACAGTTGTATCATCCCCAGGTGGCCTTCCATCCCAACTGCCATCCTCGACGCTTCCCTTGTGTTCTGTATGGCGGCCCTCAGTCGGCTACATTTCTGCTTTGATAAATCAACTTTAGTTTTTTCAAGTTTGTCTTTTGAAATCATTTCCTGGGTTATCTCCTCCTGTTTCTTATCGAGATATGCGTTGATTCTTTGTCGGAGATTTGAAATACTGTTAAAACTACCGTCCTGACATTGCTGCAAGGATTCAACTTGGTGGTCAAGAGCATTTAACATAGATTCCAAGCAGTTGACCGCCTTTTCAAGAGATTTGTCCATGTCATCTAGTCTGGAATTATTCTTCTGGTGTTCACAATACTCCTTTATCGTCATCACTTTGCTACATCGTCGGTGTTCTGTGATAATGCATTTGTTGCATCCGATGAATTTATGATCTTCACAATAGCAGTCCATCTTCTCGTTGTGTGTGGAACATGATATTGACATATGCCGTTTCCATGTCGCATCATAATTTGTCTCAAGATTAATTAAAATCTCACATGCTTCGTGAACGACATCATGGAAATTTGTCTTACAATGTTCGCAAAATAAGGTGCCTATTGCTTTGCACAGAAACAAAGCTGGTGTTTCCTGATTTTTTGTCTTCTTGCAAGGGCCACAATAAAGTGGAGTATCCGCCATTTCTTTGTGGTTGTTAAAATGCTGAGTTAAACTGTCGGTCGGAAACTGTTGTGCCCACGTCTCTTTACCCTCAGAGTGGTTGACAGGCGATGTGATCTTCCTACATACAGGACAGGGGAAGGACGTCACGGCGGCCATCTCACCAGACAAGTCTGTGACGATGTAGGTACTGAGACATTCCTCACAGAAGGAGTGTAAACATGGGAGAGACTTTGGACTTTGCATCTGCTCCAGACAAATAGGACATTCGAGAAGTTGATAGGTCAAGGCAGTGTTGTCTTTGTTCAGTTGGTCTGCCGGTAGAGATCCACCTTCCGCCATCACTGGGGGGAGCTCTCTGTATTCATCTGAAATTTAAGTAAAATAATTAAATATATTGTATTGAAATGCAAAAGGTATGATTGGCCTATATAACTCACTTGTTATTCATCTCGCATGTCAGATGTTCATAGAAGACAGAGTAAATATGTATCCAAAAACGTTAAATATCATTACATATTATGGATCTTCGTTGGAATATTTTTTCTCTCTACAATTTACAAATCATCGGTGTAAGATTTTAGCCAACGGAATAAATGTGACCCCTGTGTAGTTATAGGTCATTCGACTATATTCCACACACTTCGCATCAGTTTGGTAATTTTCTAAGCATAGGTCGTTTGATGTCTCGGATGAAATAGTTTCAGCAAAAGTGGTGCCTGTTACCTACAAAATGGGTCTATGTCAGTCGATGGAACAAACTAAAAAGCCTTCATCTGAGCATTCTATATGCCAATTATCAATCATCCCTACAGCATGTTGATTGAACAGAAATCGATTGACAAATAACACATTTCATCTTTGTGACTTTGAAATCAGGCCAAAGTAATGTATTTGAGGAAATATATTCCTTCCTAATACTTCTATATTACTCAGAGGGGGTCTTCTTGCATGTACATTTTGCAAATTGTATCCTTTTGACCAAAACATTGAGTTATGGTTATATATTTAAACAAAATTGGTAGACCTGTATACAACGATGTTACCTGCCTAATATTACCCTAGCTCTCTTGGTTATTCAAAATAAGTCGTTAAAATATTTTGAAAAATAGTTTAGATAAATTTAACCCCTGTAGCTTTTGAAGGCAGGTCCAGGTTATTGATTTTATAAAAAGTTAAAAGCTCATTATCCTGGATTGATACGGGTAAAATAGCATCACTCTAAGCATCTTGGTTGGTAAGGAGGAGTTTTGTTTAAAGGTTTAAAGGTTTAAGCAAAATCTAATTGCATCGACCTTGAAATTTGGGTAATGTACTTTTTTCGAACACACTTTTATTTTTTTATTTCAGTATAATATAGACTTACTATAATAACCATTGGCATCATGGTAAAAGAAGATGTTTAATTGTTTTAACAAATTAGACCCTTAGGGCCATAACAATTTTGGGTGGATGCTATTCATTCTTCGTTATTTATGAGAGCTTTTATTTACAGGTTTGAACAAAGTTGACCCATGTGACCTTGCAAATTAGACTAGAGGATTTATATAAACACAATCCGGATAAATATTTCAAAATCGGATGTCGATAAATGATTCTACTCATACAAGTTTTTAAAAATATGTCACTTGTATTTATATCAACATGTCAAGTGGAAAGGAATCACGTTCATGCATTTCAAAACGTGATGGTCCTTCATCCAAATACTACCGGCTAAATATCATCATATTGGTTATTCAGAATAAGTCGTTTAAATAAGATGGTTGACACCGAACGAAGGAACGCAGGCGCCACACAATCCCATAAGCACAGGGCAGTTAAATCTAGTCGAGTTACTGGATGTGCAACACTGTATTTCAGACCTCTGCCCTTTGACACTATAGATTCAATATTATTGTGTAGAAAGGTGCAGATTCACGAAGACGAAAATGGTGAAATCAGCACGTATTTGATCAAATTTCAATGCAAATGTTTTCATCAAGTTTAGGCTAGTTATTTTCCATAAAAGTTATGAAGCTTTCTCTTCCAGGTCATACAACAGAAGCCGTTGAGTTTGTTAGCCGTTGTGCAGCTTTGTTTTTGTCACATTGATTCATGGAATTTCCATGGGTTAGTACTTTCGCTTTCGATAGGCACACTCCAGAAATCATATGTGAAGTATACAGTGTATCATATTTTTTAATTTTTTATTTGCATTAGAATTTGGGAAGATCAGATAAAGATAAGTTACTTTTAATAACAGCTCTATCTTATCACAGTCAGTATATGAACAATAGCGAATTGACAAGACTGATAATAACATATCAAGTGACCCGCGGCAATCATTACTACCACTGTATGTTAAAAACCTTATCAATACCGGTAGAGTACCTTATTAATATTACAATGCATACATGAAACATGACTTACCCAAACTACGATGCCTTTGATAAGCTAAGATTCCCTGAAAGGCATGTTACACCCTCCATGTACTGGCATGTTACGACGTGTTTCAGTCTTATCAGATAACACAACGGTTATCTAATACAACGAGTCCGTATAACGGAGAGACTGAATTCGGATTATATCTTAATAAATTAATAAATCAATAATCAATTTATTCTTTATTATTCCTACAAACATAAGAAGATCTGCCACTTGCATTAATGTCAAATATCTGTGTAGTTTCTCCGGCAAATTTATCAATCATCAATGCAAACATTTAATGCTAAAGGTAGACTTGTACAAGTCCTTGAATGCTATTTCTGTGTATTAGGGCGATAACTAAACAGTAAATCACTGTATGATTACAGCATGTCAGTAATACAATGGTCTCTGCCTTACTACCATTTCAATTTCTAGTATAGGCGTGATATTAAACTAGAATGTATACATTGTTCGTTCTTAATGAGAAAGTCATGCATCCAAATACCTATATAAATAATGAAAACAAATTTCTTATCATATCGCTTTTTTGGATATATGCGTAGCATCGTTTTAAATCAATGGATCCATTTGAAATTAAGGTATATTTATTGCTTANGATGGGAGATTCTTTATATGCTAATATTATTGAAAATTTCCCTATTCCATATCAAAACATTTGCGTTCAAATGTATATAATTATATCGTCAT